TTCAGGTGTTTTATGATACAGCTAAAGTAGACTTCTTATTTCTTACTAGCTGTTCTTCATCTCATCTCATCCTTTCCCACCTTCATTGCATTCCTGCAGATGGTCTCACATGCCTGATATACTCTCCCTTTTTGTCTCTGTCTGTTCAGATCCTTCCTTTCCTCCAGGTAGGCATTTTAGAAATATTTAGTGGGTTGAATTCACTGGAAGTCTCCAATTTATCAAGGGACTGTTCTCCAAAAGTTCACAGGTGAGTTGGTTCTTTAGCACTCAGAATACCTTTTGTCTTTTAAAAAGAGGTTTGCTTTTTTCGTCCTAGTCTTTCTCCCTCTCTTTCACTTTCATTTTACCCTCTCCAAATCTCCCTGTTTCCTCACGTACCTTTCCCCATAGAAAGAGTATTATCAATTCAATTCAACAATAACTACTTACTAAATGCTGGGGATACTTTGAGAGGCAGGACCCAGACTTTGCATTGAAGACATTAAAAATGTAATGGGAGAGACGAGAGGTACATAAATCATTATATATTAGATACACAGAATAAGTACATGATAACTTTAGTGGGGAAGGCACTAGTGGCTGTAGGCACCAGGAAAGGCCTCCTACAGAAGGTGGCATTTGAACTGAATCTTAATGCTAAGTGGTAGGTAGGAGAAGACAGAGCATTCCAGACACAGGGGATGGCCAGTGCAAAGGCCCCTTACCACCCACTGCCTATTGGACGTTCCTAACCAGATGTTCCAGATGCATCTCAAACTCAGTATGTCCAAAACAAAACTCATTATCTTTCCTTCCAAACCTGTCCCTCTTCCAACCATCTTTCCAATCTTCCAAGTTTGTAACCTGGGTATCGTCACTGTCCTCACTCTCCTTGACCCCACTTACATAATTGGTTGCCAAGTATTGCTGTTTCTACCTCCACAACACTTCTCCTAATCGACCCCTTCTCATTACTCACACAAGTTTCACCTTGGTTCATGTGTCCATCACCTCCTGCCTAGAAAATTGCAACAGCCTCCTCTTTCGTCTCTCTGCCATGTCTCTCCCCACTCTAGTCCAGTCTACAAGCTGCTGAAAAAGTAATTTTCCTTAAGCATACATCTGAACGTAATAATTTCCCTATTCTATCAACTCCAGAGATTTCTCATTACCTCTAGGTTAAAATACAAACTCTTCTATTCAGCTCCTGAAACCTATAGCAAATGGTCCCAACCTATCTTTTCAACCTCATTGGACTTTACTTTTTCCACACCCTACGATCGAGCCAGACCGGCCTTCTTTGTCCCTCACACATGACCCTCCATCTCCCATTTGTACTGCCTGTGCTACATGACTGGAGTATACTAGCTCCTTTCCTCTGTCTCATAGAGATCCTCTCTTTCTTTAAGACGCAACTCAAGCATCGTCTTTTCTATGAAGCCTTTCCTGATGCCCTCCATCTGTTAGTGTTCCCCTGCAAGGTTTATATTTATGCTATATATTTTTATATATACAACATACTACTGTCTCCCCCATGAGAATGTAATCTCTTTGCAAGTAGGAATTATTTCATTTATGTAATTGTAGCATCTAGTAGAGTACCCGTTACATAAAAGGTGCTTCAATAAACACTTGCTGATTGTTTGAAGTAGACCAGTAGCGTGAAAAGGGCTAGAAAGGTAGTTGTAACCAGATCATGGAGGGCTTTGATTAGGAGCGCTAGGTTAGGGGCGGCTAGGTGGAGAGTAGATAGAGTACCAGCCCCGGAGTCAGGAGGACATAAGTTCAAATCTGGTCTCAGACCAGAGACTTAACAGGTCTCAGACCAGAGACTTGACACTTACTAGCTGTGTGACCCTGGGCAAGTCACTTAACCTCAACTGCCTTGCAAAAAAACAAAAAACAAGTGAGAAGTGCTAGGATTGGGAATTTACCTTTTATTTGGTAGGGGTGGGAATGGGGGAATTAAAGGTTTTTCAGTTGAGTGACATGATTATAGCGACATATTAGCTTTGAAGATGTATGACAGATGGGTTTGATCAGGAAATAGACCAGAGGGCAGAGAAGCCACTTAGGAGATTAGTATGATAGTCTAGGGAAAAGGGAAGGAGGGACTGAACTGGGACAGTTGTGGTGGGAGTAGAAAGAAAGAGACTGATTCCAAAATGGGTTCATGATTTAGATATAAAGGCTGATACTAAAAGCAAATTGGGAGAGCAAGGAATAGTTCACGTCAGATTTATGGAGAACAGAAGAATTAATGCCAAACAGGAGACAGAGAACACTATGAAATGCAAAATGGATAACTTTGATTATATCAAATTGAAAAGTTTTTGCACAATGAAAGCCAATACAACCAAGATTAGGAAGGAAGCAGAAAACTGGGGAAAAATTTTTTACAACCAGTATCTCTGATAAGGGCCTCATTTCTGAGTCAAATCTATAAGAATATAAGTCATTCCCCAATTGATAAATGGTCAAAGGATATGAACAGGCAGTTTTCAGATGAAAAAATTAAAGCCATCTATAATCATATAAAAAAATGCTCTAAATCACTATTTAAAAAAATTTTTTTTTTTATTTTTTAGTGAGGCAATCGGGGCTAAGTGACTTGCCCAAGGTCACACAGCTAGTACATGTCAAGTGTTTGGTCTGAGATCAGATTTGAACTCAGGTCCTCCTGACTTCAGGGCCGGTGCTATATCCACTGTGCCACTTAACTGCCCCTCTAAATCACTATTGATTAGAGAAATACAAATCAAAATAACTCTGAGGTACCACATCACACCTATTAGATTGGCCAACATGACAAAACAGGAAAATGATAAATGTTGGAGAAGATGTGGGAAAATTGGAACACTAATGCATTGTTGGTGGAGTTGTGAAATGATCTAACCATTTTGGAGAGCAATTTGGAACTATACCCAAAGGGCTATAAAAATGTGCATACCTTTTGATCCAGCAATAGAACTTCTAGGTCTGTATCCCAAAGAGATCATAAAAATGGGAAAAGGACCCACATGTACAAAGATAATTATAGCAGCTCCTTCTGTGGTGGCAAAGAATTGGAAATTGAAGGGATGCCCATCAATTGGGGAATGGCTGAACAATTTGTGGTATCTGAATATAATGGAATACTATTGTGCTATAAGAAATGATGAGCAGGTGAACTTCAGAAAAACCTGGAAAGACTTGTATGGATTGATGCTGAGTGAAGTGAGCAGAACCAGGAGAACATTGTACACAGTAACAGTCAGATTATGTAATGACTAACATTGATAGACTTAGCCCTTCTCAGCAATGCAAGGATCTAAGACATCTCTAAAAGTCTCACGATGGAAAATGCTATCCACATCCAGAGGAAGAACTATGGAGTTTGAATGCAGATCAAAGCATACTATTTGCTCTTTTTTTCTCTTCTGTTTTATTTTGTTTCCTCTTTCTGGTGGTTCCTCCTATTGGTTCTAATTCTTCCTTACAACATGACTAATGTGAAAATATGTTTCATAGGAATGTATATGTAGAGCCTATATCAGATTGCATGCTGTCTTGGGAAGGGAGGCGAGGAAGGAGGGGGAGAAAAATGTAAAACTCAAAAGCGTATGGAAGTGATTATTGAAAACTAAAAATAAACTAATTAAAAAAAAAAGAAAGAGACTGATTCAAGAGTTACTGTGGGAGTAGAATAGACAGCTTTTGGCTGAGGATCGGCTATAGGGGTTAAGACAGAAGAGTCCAAGATAGATCTCTAATTTTAAGCCTGAGGGACTGTGAGCATGATGGTATCCTCGACACAAATAGAGACATTAAGGGATGGGTGATACTTTTGGGAAAAGGCAATAAGTTCATTTTTTGAGCACATTATTCATGGTGGGTGGGCTACCCTACAAAGACCTATTTAACCCTTAATAAAACTGAAACATTCTATATCCATTTGCAATGAAAAGTACAGTAATTGAAAATAATGCTGTTTCAAAGGAGGTAAGATATTCCTTCCCCAATCCCTCTACCAATCTAAGAGATGACAGCAAGTCAAATATTCATACATCAGGGATTTTCCTGTGCCAGTGCTAATTCTCTATGTGATACTTTCCAAAGCATTTTCCAAATATGCTATTTCACTTAATTCTGTAAGATAGATAGCAAAGGTAGACTAAAAACTTCTTGGGGCAGGGGGGAAAGACAAACTATATTATGTTTCATTGTTACCCAAAGTGCCTAGTATAAGATTGGAACTCCAAGAGGCTTAAAAGTTTAGTTGATTTGCCCAAAGTTGCAAAAATAACTCTACAATAATGATAGCTCGCATTTTATATATTACTTTACCATTACAAATCTCTTTGCATGTTATTTCATTGGATTTTCACAATACCCCTGTGAGGTTGGTATTGTAAGTATTATTATCCCCATTTTATAGATGAGAAAACTGAATCTAAAGGAAAATATAAGACACATGGCTAGTAAGTGGCAGACTCAGGGCTAGGTGGTGCACCAGTGCTGGGCCTGGAGTCAGAAAGACTCAAATTCAGCCTCAGACACTTGTTAGCTGTGTGACCCTGGGCATGTCATTTCACCTCCGTGTCTTCATCTGTAAAATGGGGATAATAACAACACCTACCTCCCAGGGTTGTTGTGAGAGTGAAATGAAGTAATATTTGTAAAGTGATTAGCATGGTATAATAAGTGCTATACAAATGTTAGCTGTTATTATTCATAAACTGCTGAAAATACTGTCAATGCTCTGAGGGAAAGCCTCAGTTCTCCTGCCCTACTTATACCTCTGCTTGAACCCAGGTCCCCAGATTTCAAGTCCAAGACCCTTTTCACAACATTCAATGCTGGTTGCTAAGGTGACTTTATTTATAATAAGACATCTGGCCATTGCCATCTGAGGCTTCAGTTCTTGTGAACAGCAGCATTTGGATTCATCTGTTCATTTTACTGGCAATGGGGGAAGGATCGTTTTCCCAGAAGATTACCTGACAGTGCTAATGGATTGGTGGTTTGCTGTCTTCCAGGTGTCTCCTCCCCACCCCAACAAGGCCCCATCAACACGATCATCATTTTCGCCATCTTCCTTTTCCTGATCAGCCTGCCTTACATCCTTTTCAAGTTATTTCCCAGGTAGAGGACTGCAGAGAAGACTGGGTCTAGCTTTCCCAATCATAGTCTATAAGAACGTCCAGGCCCCTCACTTGGGAGCCCATTGGGAGCAGAATGTCTACCTATCCCTCCCCAGACCTCCAGCCACAGACCTTTTTGGGGGAGGAGAATCTTGACATTCCATCAATTAGGAGATTGGAGTTCTGAGATGGAAGAAGCCCTTCGGACAGAGCCATAGCTGGGAATTCAGACAGTGAGGAGGAGTCTACGTTCTCCTCCCCACCAAACGAATCCCAGTTCTGTGCAATTGAGTAGGGACAATCTGTGGAAAGAGGCAGAGGAGGGGGAGTAAGTCTGCCACAGAGAGGAAGCATATCTCCCTGTTGTTGGAGACCCGCTGGCAAAGTCTCAAGAATTCTCCCCTAGTTAGGGCTCTGCTGTGCAGTGTAATAGAAATAATGCTGGTTTGGGAGACAAAGAACCTGGGTTCGAATCCTGCCTGTGATCCTTACTATCTATGTGACCCTGGTATCCCACACATATAAGTCCAAAAGTTCAATGGGTTGCCTGCCTTGAGAGGTAGTGAGTTTCCCATCACTAGAAGACTTCAAACAGAGGTTGGGTAATGATTTGTCAGGCTTGTGGTGGTGGGGATTCTTTGGATTAGATAACCTCTGAGCTCCTTTCTAACTCTCAGATTCTTCAAGGATTCCTTGCCTCTCCTTGTCCCTTTGGCCCCTCCCCCCACTTTGGTTTTTGCCTCATCCCACCCCGGCTCCCACTAGTACTCCCAGTACCCCTTGCCCTAGCTGATCTTTCTTGCCATTTCTCTGCCGCCCTCCAGAGTGAAGAATACCTTCTACCAGAATGTGCCCTCGCCTGCAGCTTTCTTCAGGCCCCTCTACACTGTACATAATGGAAACTTTCAGGTAATCTGGGAAACTCATGCCTTCTCCCATGCCCCAGGGTCTAGATAGACACTGTTCCTAGGGTTCTTGATGGGCCTCTAATGCTTCTCTTCCTTATTGGTGGCATTAGATAATGAAAAGATCATTGGGAGACCCAATGGACCCTTAAGACCATGAACTGGTCACTTCTCTGATCCTCAGTTTTCTCACCCATAAATGGGGATAATAATGCCAATAGTAATAATAGTTAGAATTCATATAGCACTTTAAAGTTTGCAAAGTACTTTATAAATATCTAATTTGATCCTCATAACAACCCTGGAAGAGTTATCATCCCCATTTTACAGACGAGGGAACTGCCAGAGGTTAAGTAACTTGCCCAGGGTCACACAGTTAGAAGGTGTCTGAAGCTGGATTTGAACTTGGGTCGTTCTGACTCCAGAATCGGTGCTCTATCCACTGCTCCACATAGCTGCCCCCTGGAAGGGACCTCTGAAAGTCATCTGGTCCAACTGGTACCTGAGCAGAAATACCCCGTATAATATCCCCAAGAGTGGTCATCCATCCTCTAATTGACAACTTCTGATGATGGGAAACTCACCACCTCATGATGTAGCCTATTACTTTTGGAAAGCCCTGTTAGCAGGGTTTTCCTTGTATTGACTTAAACTCTGCATCTGCAACTTAGTACCTCTAGATCTGCCCTCTGGGGCCAAACAGAGCAAGTCTGATTGTTTTTCCCACATGACAGCCCCCCAAATACTTGAAGACAGCCACCTGGATGCCCTGCAGAAGCTGAGAGTTGGAAAGGATCTCAGAGGTTATTTAGTTAGTCCAACCCAAGAATCACCTCCTCCTAACAACATTCCTAACAAGGCGTTATCCAGCCTCCGTTTGAAGACTTCTAGTGACAGGGAACTCACTACCTCTTAAGGCATCCCATTAGACTTGTGGGCTGAGACATGTGGGACCCAACATTTTTTCCACAGGAGAGCCCCATTTTAACTGTCAGGGCATCTTGCCCTTTCAGTGCCTTCATGAACCACTTCCTTCTACCTCCTATTACACTGCTTATTCATATTGCTCTTGTCTTTCTCTTTCCCAGAGGCCCCAGACCTTTTTTTTTTTTCCCACATAAACTGTCTTCCTACTAGGCTTCTTTCTCAGAGCTAAATATTCTCAGTCCTTCAACCAATCCCCATATGATATAGTTTCAGATCTCACTATTCTGATGGCCTTCCTTCAGGTTGTCGAGAGAGAAACTGAACACCAATACTCTGGACATGGCCTGATCAGGACAGGAGACAGGACTACTATCACCTTTCCATTCTAGCTAGACACTATACTTCTTTTAATGCAGGCTAAGATCCTATTAGCTTCTTTTTTTTCCCTACTAGCTTCTTGGAAGCCACATCACACTTCTTTCACATTAAGCCTATCCTCCTCTTCCACTGAGGCCCCCAGATCTTTTTCTTATCCACAAAAATTGCCTTCTAACTATATCTTCCTCATCTTTAATAAGTCTCTTGTGTGCGTGTGTGTGCACATATGTGTGCGTGTATGCGTGTGTGTGTGTGTGTGTGTGCCAGAGAAGAATAAGACATTGTTGTTACCATTAACGATCTACCACAGTCTAGTGATTGTGCTATGTGTATGGTGACTCATAACCAGCAACATTAGACATTGTATAATCAGTGCCAGATAAGAAATCTTTATTTCCTTCAAGACTCAACTCAAGAAGCACCTTCTACATGAAATCTTTCTTGATTTTCCCCACTAATGCTCCCTCCCCAACTACCTTGTATCTATATTGCATTTCCTTTCCCATGTACACATTGTCTCCGCTTGTAGGATGTAAGCTTCCTTAAAGCAGGAACTGTTTCATTTTGTCTTTGTATCCCCAGTCCTTAGCATGGTGTCAAGCAGAGAGTAGTTCCTTAATAAATGCATGTTGATTGATTAAAAGAAATGCTCAAAGTCCAAGAGAGAGGACACCTCTTGGCTGGTGGGGATGGAGGGGTGGACAAGGAAGAAAAGGTAAGATTGGGGCCAGTGCTTGAAGGATTTCACTAATCAGGAGTAGAGAGCAAAGGAAGGACATTAGCAAAGGCATGAAATCAGGAAGTACGCATGGACAGTGTGTGTTAAAATGAATGAGTGAATACCAGCTGAGTGAAAGTCAGCTGGGTGGGAGCTTTAGAACATGGTTTGGCATTTGTGTGACTAATTGGTACATGATCCAGTTTGGCCGAGGGGAACCTCATGCCTCCATTCAGATGTTTCTGCTTGTGTTTCAGACGTGGGCCAGATCTGACCTCCTTGGTCCCCAGCTCAGAAGGCAGGGGGCCACAGAGAGGAGGGTCTTGACCAGAGATGAGCTCTTGGGCTTCATATTCCAGGAGTCGATTTCTCAGCTCACCTGCTTCCCAATGAGGCCCAAGAAGGTAGATGTCATGGAAGAGAAGGATGCCTACAAGCCCAGAGGACCTCCTCAGGAGGCAACCCAGCAGGACCCAGAGTCTAAGTACCTCAGTGTTGAAGAACTGGAGACTTGGCGGCTGCCTGGGGTGGTGATAGACGGGCACAGTGATAGTGGTGATGCTGAGGGCCAACCAGACTTCCCTGGAGTCAATCAGGCTAGTTCATTAGCTATCAGATGCCCTCCCATTTCCCTGAAGCAAACGGACCAGACCCTGGAGAGCTGCTCCACCAGCAATAGTGATTATTGTACCCTGAGTGGCAGTGAGATGCCCCAGGCCTTGGCACCTGCTGGAGAGCTACAGGGCCCAATGCCCAGCATGGGTCAGTGACTCCCTAGTCTTTCCAGAGCAGGCTCCATCCTGGGGCCCACCAACATTCAGGTATCCTTGCCTAGCCAGCGCAGAGGACTCCTGGGTAAAAATGTCAATTTTTAAGTGGCAATGGGGTCAGACACCAGGAGGCCAACAAAGCTTGTTCAGCTCTCCAGGAGCCATAAGTTTCTGTACCTATGAACATTCCCTCACCTCCCTACTCTCTCCTAGAGTGGAGTATGAGAGCCCCTCTCCATCCCCGAAATCCATCCAGATGGCATCCTAGGCCCAACTCCTTTCCACTCTTCCTTCTGTACCCAAAGTGCCAGAACTTTTCAAAACTAATTCAAATGAGTTCAGCTTGACAGATCTTTATTATGCCTATGTGCATAGCATTAAATTCTTAGCAAAATGGACAAAAGTTTCAGCAAGTCCCTGCACCCCAACTTGGGGTCGAGGGTCTTGCTCCCAACTCTAGGCCCTGAGTCGTCCTTCCTCAGCTAATTGTTCAATCCAACCCAACTTTCATGAAACACCTACTGGGGTCAAGGCACTGGCATTGGGGATATAAAGACAAACAAATGGATGGTTTATGCCTTTTTTTTTAAGGTCTTGTCTCTTTCACCATTCCTGGTGTGTCAGAGCAGGGGGTGAGAAAGGAACTGTGCTGGTTTAATCCCTGACCTTGACCACATCCCCAACCCACAAGCCTTTATACACATGGGGAAGGGGTTAGAGGAAGTAGAGTTGGCAGATGTCTTGTAGAGGTTTATATCCCTTCAAAGTTGGTGGAGTAGAAAGGTACTGCTGCTGCTCCCTGAGCTCCTTCTCATAGAACCTTCTCTCTTTCTCCTTCTCTTTCTCTTTCTCTTTCTTGTCCTCTTCTGCTCTCTTATTCTCTTTGTTTCACTGATCCTTTTGTCTTAGGTCTACCAGTTGCCCCCTCTGGTCTCTGGGTTGTACATGTTGCTAAACTCTATTTTGACTTGTCACTCAAGGCCCCTGACCCCATTCTTGCTCTGAGCCCCCACTATCCCCCGTCCAGCCCATTCTTCCGCATAGTTCCCTCCAGGACCAATATGAAAGAGTGCAGGGGTTCTTAACTGGGGCTCATGAACTTATCAGTTATACCATTATTAGTATTTCTACATAATTTGTTTCCTTTATAATCCTATGTATTTTTTTTAATGCACTTAAGGATGTTATTCCAAGAAGGGGTCCACAGGCTTTGCTGGACAGCCAAAGGCATCCATGAGACAAAAAAGGTTAAGAACCTCTGGTATAATGTCTTCAGAAGACCTAGGCCTCATTTACTAGCTGCATGACCTTGGACAATTCACTTAACCTCTTAGGGCCTCAGTTTCTTCCCCTGTAAAATAAGGCCATTGGATTCTAAGACATGTGAGATCTAGTCCCTTTCTGGGGGATAAATTTAAATGACCCCATTTGAAGGAATTACAATTTGATCTCTTTCTTTGGACAAATCCAGCCCAACTTGGAGGCCCAGGTTTGTATATAATGGGATCTGGCAGCCCATTATAATCAAAAGACAACCCCACGTTCATTCTCTATGACCTCTGTCAGTCATAGGATGCTCCCATCTGGCTCCATCATCCTTTACAGGAGGGGTGATATCGTGGAGTACCAGTCACCGACAGGCTGCTATGGTTCACTTTCAATGATCTGCGCTAGTGAAAGGGAGCTATGATCTGAATTATCCAAACCAGAAGAGTTTTAATATGTTCTACTTGGCTTGGAATTCACTGCATATGTAGATACATCAAGAGGTTAACCTTCCTGTTGTTTTTAAGGCTAATATTAACATGAATTCCCATTGACTGTCACCTGGGCATGGGGAGGGACACAAAAGGTTTGGGGTATGGGAGAAGTGAATCAAAGTCAGTTCTCCCAAATGAACATTCAGAAAGGAGTCGCCTCTTAGCTCTTCAGCCTGGAGCTTTAATGAACATTATTTTATCAGTCTTTAGGAGGCAAAGGATGTCAGAAGAGCATCGAGCTAGAAACGACCCATGAGCCATCAAGTTCAACCTTCTCATTTTATATATGGAGTAAACTGATGCCCAGGGAAGTAAAGTGACGTGCCCAAGGTCACACAGGTAGTAAGCATCAGACCTGGAACCCAGGTCCTCTCATCCTCAGATTACGTTGTCCTGGTCAGCTGTGACAAAGGCAGATAAAGTTAGACCATGTCCATGCAGAATTCATCCAGAGGATGATGTGGACATGGGAAATCTGAAAGGAAGAACCCCAAGGTTTGGGAAAGAGCAATAATAGAAGAAAAGAATAAGCCAGCTCCTGCACCCCCCCCCCCCAATGCCATTTGGTGTTAGAATAATCTGATAGCAAGGTGATGCTCCCTTTCTTCAGTCCAACTTTCTTTGGTTCCATCTCTGATGGGATGGAGATATAGATGGATGCATACAGCTGATCTCAAGTCTTGGGAAGTTAGGGGCCATAACAGTTACCAAAAGCACCCTGCATTTCCCACATTCATTATGTACAGTCTGCATTTATCAGTACAGTCTAAGTGATGACAGCTCTTCATGAGGGAATTGTCTTTGTTCGGTTCCCCTCTGGATACCACGGAGAACTGACTTTCCAAGCTTTTGCCCTTTCTGCTCCTTGGGAGGTTGGGGACTAGGGGCTAAAGGTTAGTGATGGTCTGAGATATGTGAGGTGGGTGTCTCGATAGGATGACTTTATTTATGATTTTTTCTTACCTCTCTGATTAAATGTGTAGCATAGGCTCTGGGGCTGCTATCCCAAACCCCCATTCTCATTGGCAAGCTAAATCCCCAGAGGGTAGCTACCTCTTTTGCCTCTCAGTGTTTTAGGGGTAACTCAGGGAGGTTGAGGGGGGTTCTTTAATACTACATAGCTCATGAGCCATCACCAGGGTGCTTCCTCCACTGATTCTCAATTAATATCAATTAGCCAGTCAGACTTAGCTTTTCAAAATGGGTATTAATAAGAACAGTTGGTAAGAAAATCACTCCCCAAATTGGGGCACATTCTCTCCCCAGTGTATATGGAGTCTAGGGGAAAGTGGGTTCAAGCTTAAGGCATATGTAGGAAAGGGGAACTCGTAGTTCCTGGAAATCTATTTCTCCTTTTTGTGGGGCCCTCATGAAGTCATCCTGACCTTGTAGAGTCCTGAACCCGCTTTTCTTCAGTGCATCTAGTTTCTCCTCATTGTTCCAATGTTCTCCTTGTTCTGATGTTGCTATTAATTATTCTGAAGACATGGCCACTATACATTTTGAAGTCCAAACCTCTAACCTTTCAAAGTCTACAAGGTCAAAGGGGAGGAAAGAAGCTCTTTGGTTTCCCTCAGTAATTCCTTCTTAAGGTCTTGGCTGGAACTGCTCTCCATCTGGGCTGTCCAGCACTTGAAAGTGCCCAATAATTCCAAAGTAGCTTACATTATTATACAGGCCCACAGAACGTGACCAAGTGTTCACAGCCAATCCTAATATACTTTTTGAGCAGCATCCCACTTCACCCGATGACTTTTAATCTTTGTCCACTTGTTTAACTAGGTTGTTTGTATTTAGTTCATTGTCATTCGACAGAGGTGTCTAGGCCTTGTTCGTATCTCTGCTTGATGGATTCAATCTGAGCCCTCTGTAATTATTGAGGTAGGGTATGGTAACACTTCTTTTATAAATGCTTTCTAAAAGGGCTATGATGATCTTGAAGCATGAGAAGATGCATCCCTCTCCCTTCCTTGGAGAAGTGGTGAACTATGAGTATGGAACACACAATTATATATACTGTCAGACTGTCAGAATATATACTGTATTAGTTAGTTTTATGGAATTGCTTTTTTCCCCCTCTTTTTATTCTTTGTTGCAAGGGATGACTCATTGAGTATGGGAGGGGGAAGGATATATCTGGAAATTAAGGAGATGTAAAGACAAAAGATCTCAATAAAAATTTTAAAAACAATGATCTTGGCAAAGGTGATTCAGAGAGGTAAATAAAAAGGTGGAAATGGAATGACTGGGTAGGGTCCAGAAACAATTGATTGGTTTGGTGGACAGACACACCTTTGGACATAGACATTTGAACCTAGGCAGAGCCTAGAGTGAGAGCCAAGATAACAGGTGAAGGGCAAGCCATTGCCCTGGTAGGAACGGGCCGCGTGGGCTGATATTCTCAGCGCCCTCTGGTGGCAAATTTTCATTAACACAGGTATGTAAATCCCATGACGCAGAGAATATTGTTGTCCCCATTTTACAGAGAAAGAAACTGAGGTTCAGAAAGATTATTGCCCAAGATAATAAAATTATCTCTAATAAAATAATAATAATTAATAATAAAATAAAATAAAATTATTATCTTGCCCAAAATAATAAAAATAATAATAGCTAGTCTTTATACAGCATGTTAAGGTTTTCAAAATGCATTTACAAGTTGTCTCTTTTGATCCTCACCACAACCCTGTTAAGTAGGCACTAGATAATTATCCCTATTTTACAGATGAGGAAATTCAGAGAAAGGTCAAGTGATTTACTACATATGGATAGCAGGTGTTTGAGTTCGAACTCAGGTCTTCCTGAAAACTACTACACTACCTAGCTCACCCTTCATTAACTCTCATTAGTGACCATTTCTGATGCATCTGCCTTTTTCATGCTCCATAATCCTAGTGATAAGCACTATTTCTCACATTCACTCACCATATACTCTGGGATGTGCTGTCCATAAAGCCAATTGGAAATTATCTCAGTCCCGGCTTTCCTGCAGAAACACTATCCACAATGCATGTATTCCCTGCATGATCATCGTGGGAGATCAGAAAAGAGAGTGATTGTTGAGGCCTGGTAGGATCGGTTGGGCCCTGAAGGATTTTGAGGACTTGGAGAAGCAGAAAGGATCCAGGTGGGTGTCAAGAAGGCAACAGAGGGGTCTTCAGACTTGCTTGGGTAGAGTAAGTGGTTCATGTTGGAGATAAGGTTGGAGAAATAGGGATAAGAATCACAGACAGCTTTGAATACCAAGCTAAGGAGTCTGGAAGGGCTCCCTGGAGGAAGAAGCTGGATTTTGAAGGAAGTACGGTCAGAAGCGGAATTCAAGTTTGGCAGAGGAGGAGAGGATAACAAATGACCTGAAGTTATGATGGGAGTGGAGGGACAGAGGGTAAGAACTCCTCTAAGACAGGAAGATTGGCCTAGTTGAATTGGAGGGGCCCTGAAGCTATGTACATTCAAGGTGTGCATAATTGAAGGAAGGGGCTGAGACCACTAGACTGAGCCAGCCAGACTTAACAGACAAGAGGGAACCAACGGAAAATTATGGGATAGTCAGTCAATAATCATTTATTTATTAAAAAAGTTTTTTTAAACTTTTCCCCAGTTTCATGTTTAATAGTCATTTATTAAGCAAGGCTTTAGAGCTATGCTGGATGGATGAGGGGAGGGGGAAAGACTGTCGCAGGGAGGAAGTAACTCTAGCCCCTTTGGTGGGGGGGAGGGAAGAAAGGGAGAGACACATGAAAAGACATCAGGACAAGTCAGC